CCCCCCCCCCCCCAGTGTTTTGGAGGTATTTCTGTTATCACCTTTCCTTCAAATTCAGTTCCCTACAGCCTAGTATTAATCAATGGGAAATATGAGCCCCTTGCTTAGCGACATTTTGAGCAATTGCAAATCATATAGAGGATGCAACTAACAGTGACTGAGAAACCTATTTATGCAGTGTAGAGGACAGGGTTGGGGCAATATATAAGTTTAGGTTTTGGCTTGCAATTCCCATTATCCCTTACCTTTATCTATTCTGGGTATGGCTGATGGGAGCAGCATGAATGGTTTTAAAAAATAAATGCTTGTTTTTTTCTGCTGCTCCTGCTGTACCTAAGAATGCACACACCAATACCTAATGTATTTTTAATTACTTGTTTTTAATATGTAAACACTACACCTTAGTGTAATGTAATTAAGGAACTTTGTCTCCTATTATGAGCCTGCTTGGGTGTTAAGATAATCAGGAGAGGCCTTTCTCTTGGTCCCACCACCTTCAAAGGTGCATCTGATGGGGGCACGGGAGAGGGTCGATCCTGTTGCTGCTCCCAGACTTTGGAACGTCCTCCCAGAGAAGACCAGACTGCAAGCAGGCAAAGATTTTCCTTCTCAGGCAATCTTTCCCTCAGTGATTTGCTGCCTGAGTGGGTTTTTTTTAATGGATTGTTGTTCCTTCCTGCTTTGAATTAGTTTTTAGTATTGCTTTTGTTTACCATTTCTTAGAGTAGTATTTGTTTGATCTTTTTTTAGAGTTTGCATATTTATTATTTTTTGCTTAAAATATTGTCTTTTAATGATGTAAGCTGCCTTTTTATACTGATTGTTTTTAGCTTTAAATATTGTCCTTTAATGTGTAAGCCACCTTGGGTCCTTTTTAAGGAGAAAGGTGGGGTAAAATATTTTAAATAAATAAATAAACAAATAAGAAACATTATTGTATTTTTAATTTTACTTTTTGTAACACTGGAGTCCTCTCACTGGAAGAAAGGTAGCCTAAAAATGAGAATAAATAAATAAATAAATGGTGGTGTTTCAGTCCTCGAGCACGCACGCACACACGTACGTATGCACGCACGCATGCACACACACCAGTTCCCATCTCCTTGGCAACATCTCATTTTTCACTGAGCCATGAAAACACAAGGAAGAGTAAAGTAAAAATTGATTTTCCCATTCCCGTCCTATGAGTGGGCAATTTTCACTATTAGTACTAATTTAAGTTGTGGTGAATATCGGGATACTGCTATTCCTGTCATAGTTGAGAGGGCCAATATGCCTAAGTTGATCCTGGGCAAGCTTTCCTAAAAGAGTTAGCTGCCAGCAACTAGGACATTTATTTATTTATTTATTTATTTATTTATTTATTTATTTATTTATTTATTTATTTATTTATTTGAATTTGAATTTGAATTTGAATTTGAATTTGAATTTAATATACCACACCCATTAGTGCCACAGCACTACTCTGGGTGGTCCATATAAAATAATCAAATACCTGTAATTATTTCCCTCTTTCCCCTGATTCCTTTTATAAAGCCTTTATTCTGTGGCTTCGTTCAAAGGATTTGAAGGTGATCGCTGCTCAAGAGATGAGCCTGATGCAGGAATACTGCTATCATGTAACTGTAAATCTCTGATGTTGTGGGAGAGAGTTGTATGTTCATTGCCAGGTTTATGTACAAACTACGAAGATGCATCTTAGGTACCTCTAAGGACATTTCCCCCTAATAAATGTCAAGGCTTATGTTAGAAGTGTGCAAGTTTGATTTCTTTGAACTGCAGCTCCTCATATTTGGACTCCCTGTGGAATTTTGGGCGTTGTAGTCTAATATGATATTCATAGAATTATAGAATTATGGAGTTGGGAGGGGCCTATAAACCCAGCAAGTCCAACCCCTTGCTCAACGCAAGAAGCAAAATCAAAATATATCTGACAGATGGTTATCCAATATTCTCTTGAATGCCTCCAGGGTTGGAACACTCAGCACCTCCTGAGGAAAATCTTGAATGCCTCCAGGGTTGGAACACTCAACACCTCCTGAGGAAATCAGTTCCATTGTTGTACTGCTCTAATAGGTAGGAACTTTTTCCTGATATTCAACCAAAATCTGGCTTCTTGTAAGTTGAGCCCATTATTATGAGCCCTGTACTTTGGGATGACTGAGAACAGATCCTGCTCCTGTATGTATGACAATCTTTCAAGTATTTCAAGAGTGCTATCATACCTCCCCCCG